CCCTGAGCCGGGTCAGCCCCCCCCCCTGCTTGCAGGCGCGGCCACATTCAGCACGAGCACCACGTGCTGGGCAAACCACTGGAGCAGGTGATGGACCGCGTGGGCCTGAAAACCAAGGAGGTGGCGGAGCGGTATGCCCACCGCGGGCGGCACCAGGCCAGGCTCCGCAAGCAGCAGCGGCTGGCGCAGCAGGGTGTGCGGCGCGTGCGGCAGGGGCAGGCAGAGGCAGGGCCCCCTAACCGGCCCGCTCCCCTGCGGTCAACCACTCTGCGTGCGCAGCTGCGGCAGCTGATCGAGGGCTATTCTGCCTAGTCCCAGCCTGTGCCACTCTTAGTGTTACATGCCATGCCCATGTCTGGTGCCGTGCATGTAATGCCTGCTCAGATCCATGCATCCCGGTCCCAAATGATCACGGCCAGCCGCACTCGATACGAGGGGGCCTTGGGCTTGCCCGCCCGGTTAGGCACACGGGGCCCCGCCTTGAACAAGTCCGCCTGGTGCGGCAGGTCCAGCACCTGCTTGAGCGGGGCGCCCAGGGACTCCAGCTGGAAGCGCCAGCTCTTGGGCCAGACGGGGTACACCAGGGCGACATCCACCCGCTCGTCCACAATTTTGGCAACGATATCCGCCATCCGATCGAAGGGGCCGTTGCAGAAGCAGGTGCGCCTGGTCTTCGTGCCCTCACCCAGCGCCCAGGCCCACTGCTGGGCAAAGGCATTGACGCCCAGCGAGCCGGGGCAATAGTAGCGGGAGTAGAAGCTGCCAGGCACCTTGGTGGACTCAGCGTCAGCAAACAGATCCACCTCGATGCGGCGGCCATGCGCCGCCACCGCAGGCACCACCACCTACAACATGGGCGGGGCAAAGCCTCACCAGCGGGGACTGGCAGGGGGCGTGGCGGCCTGCGGTGCATGCGCACGCTCTCCCCCGCTGCCTCCCTGCGTCTGCAGCCCGACATGGCGCCAAGGGCCAGCACCGCTCACCTGGCGGTACACCTGGTGGTTGAGCAGCCACTGAGAGCTATCGTGCACCTTGGACAGCGCATCCGCCAGCTCTTGGTGTGGCATGCTGCGGGGGCGCCACACCACTTCCAGCTCAATGTCATGCTCCAGGCAAAGCTCCCAGATGCGGCAAACTTCTGGGAACACGGATGGGCAGCCCTTCATGCCATTGATGGCGTAAGCACCAGATTGGCTGTCGCTCTGGTACTGCAGGCGCTGGTGGCACAGGGCGTCCGGCCGGCGGGCCAGCGCTTCCTCCAGCAGCACACGCAACACCAGCACCTCGCGCAGCGTGCTGGAGAAGTTCCCAGCACGCAGCTGAGCCAGCTCCTCGGTGGTATAGTCATGCACGACGGTGCAGATCCGCTCCAGCAGCCCCTGCTGCCAGGCCTCCTCCGCCGCTGCCAGCTGCGCGGGCGGGGCCCCACCCGCCAGGGCAGCCATCAGCTCCCGGGTGGGTGTGAAGCCTGCCACGCTGGTCTCTGAAGCGTCACCCACCATAACGACGGCCGGGGTCATGCGCTTGATCATGCGGCGCCCATTGTACTGGGGGACTGCCTTCAGGCACCAGCGCAGCGCCTTCTCCAGCTCCGCAGGCGACTCAAACAACTGATCCAGACCCGGCATGTGCTGCCCGCTGATGTGGCACCTCCCCCGATTCGTCTGGCTCATCAGGCACGCTCTCTCCCGCGATCCCTCCCTTTCCTTCGCCTTTCAGAGTCTCTAAGGCTTCTATTTCTCCCCTCCCGCACCCCGCAGCTGCCGCAAATTTAAAATTATGAACCAACCTGTCATCCTTTATGCCTTAGAACGGCGCCAAAACGGCGCCAAGAATGTGTTTCTCACTAAGTCAGATGTAGAGGGCATCATCCGGATCAAGCAGGGCGACCAGCAGGCGCCCTCAGGCCGGCGGCGGCGGGGTGCGGGAGGGGGGGCGGCAGTGCAGGGCGGCACCAAGAACTACAGCAAGAAGGTGCTGCAGTTCTTCCAGGTGCTGAAGGGCGCTGGCGGTCAGGACATCCTGTGCCGCTGCGTCAAGCGCAGCGGAGAGTGGCGGTGGTGCCCCGTGGTGCCGCTCGAGGAGCTGCCCCGAGTGATCAAGGAGCACCACGAGCGGGCGACTGGCTTCAGCGGTGTGGAGAAGCTGTACACACATGTGAGTGATACAAGGGGTGCAATGCTGCCGCCAGACCAACTGGAGAGTGCTCTGCATCAGGCAGCAACCGGATGCATCGCAGCAAGCACGGGGGGTGCGGCACGGCCAAGGTGGCGCTGCCCTCCTCTCCATCTATCCCTCCTTCCCTCCCTCACGCCGCGCACTCCCCTGGTCCTCCTTTGCTGCTCTGCTGCCTTTCCTGCAGCTGGCCTACAACGCACCCACCGAGCTGGCAGCTGGTGCTGACGGCAAGGTGCCCTTCCTCTATGGCCTGGAGGGGTTTGACCGTGCCGTGATCAGCATCTTCATCTTGGGCTGCCCCGTGCGTGCCGACCAAG